GGAAAGGCAGAGTTGTGAGGGACCTAAAATACAGTGGAGCCAATGACCAGACCTGGCTATACCTCTCAGCTAGCAGCAGCCCTCGAACCCTTTTAGAAACTTCCTGCTTTATAGCGCCTCTGGGCAAGTGGCTCCCATAACCTTGATTCTGGGGGCACATTTTTCAAACTGATTGGTGTGTTTAGAGATTATGGTTGGACTAAATCAGGGGTGTGCCAAAGGGCCTCCACAGGCTGGATCCGGATCCAATTAGGGCGAAGCCTCCTCCCACCCTGCCAGAGCACATGGCGCTTTGAAGCGCTGCTCACGGGATGCGGGGAGAGCAGAGGAGGCTTTGCACGCTCCCCCAGGCCCTAATTGGCCAAGGGGCAGGGGAGTGAGGGAAGTCTCCTGCACCAGGGGCATGGGCACATTGGAGGAACATGGGGTGGGGGCAAAGGCACTCCCTCACCCCCAGACCAATCATTGTCTGGGAGTGGGGAACCTGGAAATATCTTGGCCCTGCCCCTTCTGCTCGATGCCCTGTCCCTTCCTGTGCAGCCTGGGGTCGCTTCAAAAATTTCTGAAGTGGCCCCCGGCAAAAAATTATTGCCCTCCTCTGGCCTAAATGCAGCCTGAGGGGCAAGCATGGACAGTAGAGATCTACAGCGTGGCCCTGATGTCCAATAAGGAGGCTGGTTTACGGGGTACAGGGGCCAGTGTGCTGCATTGCACACCAGACTGTAAAGGAACATAAACCCATAGTTTCCTGTGCTGGGAAGGTGAAGTGCTCATTGCCATAGATAGCATGATTTGTGTTGGCTGTGCTTTCCAGCTGTTCCAGGCCCATACAGAGAGCAAGTCACACATGCATGTTCTGCTGGGCTCAGCACGGCTGTGAGGAATCAGAAGCTGTCTATGGGGAGCCCTTTTGGCAGTGACTGACGGTCTCTTTCATCCACAGCTGCTGGAAGATTTGATGAACAGTCACAAAGCCCAGTCTGATGACTTGGACAAAACCAGGCTGGAGGCACGGAGCACCCAGCAGGAGCTTGGCCGCATCAAGTAGGGGAAATGCACCTTCCAAGGGTCTTGTGGGAACTGTGGCACCACGTGTGTGCATTCCCCATCATGGCTGGCAAGGTGGGGTGCATTCCCCACTCAAAGGAGCTCAGCTCATCGGCTGCAAGTGCAACTCATTGTATATCCAAGGGATCTTTTATCCCAAACCACATTGGAATGACACAAGGGTGTGTGCTGCTGTCGGACCACTGTTCAGTACCCATGTGGGGAATATCAGCTCTGTTGCTAGTGGGCAGGTCCCACATCACAGCTAGCACTAACAGACCCTCTTGGCTTGTACCCTCAGAGAAGGCAGAGCTGAATTCCCCTCTTGCTGTTAGAGGGGGGCCCCTGCAGGTCATGACTGAGGCCTGTTCTCGAAGACGTGTGAGGGAAGTTGTCATGACCTGCTTGGTGGATAGAGAACGTCCCGTTTTTAAATGCATAAAGTGCTGATGTGCGAGCCCTGGAGGTTCCAGTATATGGGCAGCTGCAGTTCAAGTTTGCTTGGACAGGAGCCTTGACTAAGGGTCGATGGAGCGTTCAGTCTCCAAGGGCCATTCAGTTGTTGGTCTCTGCTGAGGCAGCTAAGAAGGGGAGTATCTGTGATGGAGACATTTATATGCTGGGAACTAGACTGAGTATCCCAGTTCACTTCACACAGGCCAGAGTAGCCAGCCAGAGTGAATTACTTCCTGCCATTCCTATTCTGGGCTGACCCTAGACTGTTGACCTGGAGATGAAAGGCTCCATATCTAAGGGTGTGTCTAGACTACAGAGTTTTGTCGACAAAACTATACCTGCGTCTACACTACCGCTGAGTTCTGTCGACATAACGTCGACAGAACTCAGCAGTTTTGTCGACGCAGGTAAACCTCATTTTACGAGGCATAACACCTTCTGTCGACAGAGTTCTGTCGACAGAAGGTGTTATCGCATGTAGGGTTGTGTCTAGACTACAGGGTTTTGTCGACAAAGCAGCTTGCTTTGTCGACAGAACTGAATGTGTCTAGACACTCTTTGTCGACAGAAGCTTTGTCGACAGTATCTGTCGACAAAACTTCTGTGGACAAAACCCTGTAGTCTAGATGTACCCTAAATCACGGTGCTCCTGTGCCCTCTAGTTCCTGTGGAAGGTGTAATCAAGCATGCTCATGTTCCCCCTCCCCAAATCCTCTGCCATGAACACAGGCTGACGTCTGTAGCTCCTTCTCTTGTCAGTCCCTGAATGAATCCACTTGGTGGCATTCAGAAAGTGGTGACTCTCTCGTTCTTTTGCTTTCTGTCACGTCTGCAGGAATTCCCTTCTGCCTGGGGCCTCTTCTCTTGCAGAGATGCTCACTTGTGTCCCTTAAATCTCTGCCCTTCCATGTATCACCCGCTCTCTTCTTGCAGGCCTGTGCTGTCATATTCCCATGAAAGAACACGGTGAGAAAGGAAACTGACTCTTCTTCTTGGCTGTGATCTCCACTCAGCTGGCCCTTGCATGCTCTGGCCTCTTCCCTGGCGATGATGGTGACATTTGAGCTTCCCCTTCAGTGATCCTTAGCTCCGCGCTATTGTGTCTCTAACTGTGTCCTTGTCTTTCCAGTCCTCCTGGCTCTGGGGTATCAGTGAGCATCCTAGCTGACTTGGGCTTAGCTGGGGATTTTGTATCACTTTCCCACACACCCTGGAGCCATAATGATGTACAGAGCCAGTCAGCCTGAAGGATCTCAAAACACGCGCAGCACGGTGACACCAACGATCGCGCCACCCACCTCTGCAATGTGTCACTTTCAGCATAGCACATGGTAGGCTCTTTAACAGCCAACAGCAGCGCTGGGCAGGGTGTGAAGCATAGTATCCGAGGAGCCTTGGAAGACAGTATAACTATTGCAAACAGAATTGAGCCAGGACCCTGGAGACACATGCATGGCCCCCGCTGGGAAGAACTCTTCACATCATGCGGCAGTGCCCCATCTGATGGCACTGGTTGGCTCTGCGAGGAGCTGTGTTGAGCTCTCTCCTTGTGATTCAGGGCCTTTGAGGTACACTGGTGGGGAATGATACTACAAACATGATGCATTCCCTAGAGCTTTCCAGCCAAGGGTCGCAAAGCCCTTTTCAGACACAGTTCACTTCTGCAGTCTTCCTCCTCTATCACCGGTGAGTGCATGTGACAATGTTTACCACCCAGGTGACAGATGGAGAAAGAACAGTAACAGAACTGGGATTGGAATCCATGTGTCCTGACTTGTTCTCTCTCCTGATACCTCTCTTAGTCCCTTGTGTTCTCGCTTGCCCTCAAAAATCTATAAATAACGTGAGTGTTCTTAGTGGAAAATATTGGTGAAATCATCCATGGTCCAGCATGGCTCTGTTGCTAGAATCGCCTTCATGAATTTGCTCTGACATCAGAAACCAAACTCACCTCCTGTACTAATAACTCACCATGGAGGATGTTATGGGAACTTGGTGAGTCATCTCCAATAATGAGCTTTAATTGC